CCCCCCCCGCCAACCCATAAAGCCTCTGAAGCTGACCCCGGAAGGAGTAAGCCCAGCTACCGGATGTGACGCAGCGGCCGAGGCTCGCAGGGGGCCGCAGAGAAAGCCAGAGAAAGCGCGGAGAAAGTGGGTAGGGGGGGGCCGGCGCCCCGGCTGGCGGGGAACCGGGGGAGAACCCCGAGGCTAGAGACCCCCCCACGCGCGTGCGCGCTGGAGCAGCGGGGGGTGGTGGGTTTCGGACACGGACACGTGGCTTGGGCGGCGGACGGCCTTCCATCTCACCGACTGGGCAGGATCGTCCCTGAGCGCCCTCCTACCCACAGGCCCAGTCCGAGGTCTGGCAGTCAGCTAGAGAGCCGGGCGCCCACAGCCCGAGCACCCCCGACAGCACCATGCCTGCGCTCCTGGAGCGCCCCAAGCTTTCCAACGCCATGGCGAGGGCGTTGCACCGGCACATCATGATGGAGCGGGAGCGCAAGCGGCAGGGTGAGTAGGGGCCAAAGCGGGAGGGCACACACCCATGGCGACACCAGTGTCCCAAACTGACCCCCACCCACGGGCAGACCAGTGCAACCACAGCAGAAACTAATAGAGAGATGGAACAGCCCCGTCGTGGTGGCAGTTTAAATCGCTAGGTCTGAACTCCAGAAACCTTGATCTGGGAAGGACCTTGGAGAGCACCTAGTGAAACGTACCTCTTCCTGTCTCCTATTGCAGTGATGGGAAGCCTGTCTTGCCAAGAGCGTTAGGATAACCAGTTTTTGCTGGTCTTCAGTCTCAAACATTTTAATTATTTTAAACACTCTGCCACTTTTCCTTTCTGTTTGACCCTTCCTCCAGAGGAAGAAGAAGTAGACAAGATGATGGAACAGAAGATGAAGGAAGAGCAGGAGAGAAGGAAGAAAAAGGAGATGGAAGAGAGAATGTCATTAGAGGAGACCAAAGAACAAGTATGTGTAATCCCTTGATCTCTATCAGCTTTCTTCCCTTGGCTCTCCTACCTTCATATTCTCTTCCATCCCTCCTTTACTAGATCCTGAAATTGCAAGAGAAGCTTTTGGCTCTACAGGAAGAGAAGCACCAGCTTTTCCTGCAGCTCAAGAAAGTTTTACATGAGGAAGAAAAACGGAGGCGAAAGGAGCAGAGGTGGGATTGGAGAGCTAAAATTAAAATTGGGGGCAAAATGTGTAACGGGTCAGGTAACAAAAAAATGGTGTTTATGGCAAAAGAGGCAGCACTTGTCCTTGATTTTTGACCTGTCTTCCTTTCACTCTAGTGACTTAACCACTCTGACATCAGCTGCATACCCACAGAGCCTGACTGTTCACACAGGAACTCATCTCCTCAGCATGCAGGGTGAGGATTAAAGAAACCACTTGTCAAATAGGCCCTCCTGGGTCTTGTAGAGAGTACCATTTCCACATCATAAAGCCCCTCCCCCTCTCTTTAGGGAGCCCCGGAGGACACAATCGCCCAGGCACCCTCATGGCAGCTGACAGAGCCAAACAGATGTTTGGACCCCAAGTGCTTACAGTAAGAGAAGAAGAATTGGGCCTCTAGCCCATTGTTTTTTCCCTATTTCCACTCGCCTTACTAAATCAGTATTCAAGTAATGAGTGTAATACCTAAACTATATAGGGAAAATGGGGCATACACAAGTCACTTGAGGTTCTGCTTTCAAGGAGTTTACATTGAGCTCTCATCCTTCTTAGACACGGCATTATGTGGGCTCAGCAGCTTTCACAGGGACCCCAGAGCATGGGCAATTCCAAGGCAGCCCAGGTGGTGCCTATGGGACTGCTCAGCCCCCACCGCACTATGGACCCACTCAACCGGCCTATAGCCCTAGTCAACAGCTCAGAGGTAAGTTGTGGGAAAAGAGGGGAGGGGGTACTTTCCTCAAGGTCCAGAGGAAGTAGTATTGTAAACAGACTAAAGGGAGGTTCTAATAGCTGTGCCTCCTGCCTTTTTCAGCACCTTCAGCCTTTCCTGCAGTGCAGTACTTGTCTCAGCCACAGCCACAGCCCTATGCTGTGCACAGCCACTTCCAGCCCACCCAGACAGGTGATAACATCCCATTTAGGGGCCCTAGTTCCATGAGTCCTCCTTTTCCCATTCTCTACTCATTTCACACACCTTTCTTCTCCACCTAGGGTTCCTCCAGCCTGGTGGTGCCCTTTCCCTGCAAAAGCAAATGGAACATGCTAACCAGCAAACTGGCTTCTCTGACTCAGTGAGTGTGGAACATTGGAAGGTCAGGGGAAGGGCTATGCTAAGGGGAACCCCAGGCTGCCTCAGGTCCTGACTCTGTTCTCTGCAGTCCTCCCTGCGCCCCATGCACCCCCAAGCTCTGCATCCAGCCCCTGGACTCCTTACGTCCCCTCAGCTTTCTGTGCAGATGCAATCAGCAGGGAAGGTAAGAATGCTTATCATATCTGTCACAATCTCTACAATACCAGGGAAAACAGGATTGGGTAGGATAGGGAGCCTACACCCCTGGTTTTCCCTTCTTCCTTGGGGGTGGCTGTTTGGGTGTAGAGTAGAAGGGAGAACATGCACACTGACAAAACCCACCTTTCATCATCACTACCAGTCAAGCTTTGCAGCTACCAGCCAACCTGGCCCCCGGCTCCCTTTCCTCCAGCACAGCCAGAACCCAAGATTCTACCACAAGTGACCATCAAATTTTATCTTCCACATCACTCCACCTCCTACCTTGGGTGACGGTCCCTGGTGTGTCCTAGTCCTAGGCCAATAAAATCTATCTGCCATTGCCCCTGGCTCCTACTGTTTGTGTTGCCTCCCATGTGGACTAGGCTAGGGCTGCTTAGAGGGTGGGGGGTAGTAGCTAGCAGGTCCATAGCAAGTCACAGTGGGACAGTGAGTTGTAATGAATTCAGTGTCACAGTCCAATCTATAATCTATTTCTGGTTCCCAAATTTCCCTTCTAGTCAGTAAATACCCATTTATTCAAAGTAGCCAAGTTGGGGCTTCATATTAAACTTGTAGTTTTATTCAGGTTTGATTTTAACAAATGTGTCAGGGTGAGAGCCCACAGGAAAGGGTGAAGCCCATGGGGTCAGGGCCCTCCCAGATGCCTGAAGGAGGGGGCCAGGCTAGGTCCCCTTTCCTCTCCTCCTCTTCCCTCTCCTGATATAAAGGGATTTGGGGAGAGACATAGGCACGGGGAGGGGGCTGGTCCCTAGTCTGTGGGGGTGGTGCTTGGGGTAAAGGGCTACGGGGAATAGGGACCAGACCAGGGATGAGTGGGGGGAGGGCACAGGACCATTTGCCAGAATCCACAGCTTACTGATCCAGAATTAAAAAAAAAAAAAAAAAAAAAAAAA